CGCAGTAATTGGCACTACAGACTTCAAGACCCAGTACGTAGGGGGAAAGGTGAATGAGTGGGTTAGCGAAATCCATGCTCTATCGGAGATTGCTAACACAGAGCCACATGCGGCCTTTGCAGCATTCACACATGGAGTCAAGCATCGTTGGAACTACCTGATGCATACCATCCCTGAGATCCGACCCCTCCTCCACCCTTTGGAAGAAGCAATCAGTGTCAAGTTCATTCCCAAACTAGTGAAACACCACGACTTAACCCTAGTAGAAAGAACACTTCTTGCACTTCCACCAAGACTGGGAGGGATGGGACTAACTAATCCAGAGGAGATTGCTGACTCTGAACATCAAAATTCACTTAAGCTCACGGCAGCCCTCACTGACCACATAATGGCCCAGAATGCAACAGGGGAAGGGGACACCAGCGAAGTTAATAAGATCCGTAGGTCCATTACAACAGATCGGCAGCACTGCCAAAATGACATGTTGCAGCAACTATTGCTGCTGGTTCCAGAAAATTTGACAAAAAAAGTAGCTATAGCGCAGGAGGTGGGCGCCTCGAACTGGTTAACTACGTTACCGATAAGGGCAAATGGTTTCAGCCTTAACAAACAAGAATTTACAGATGCCATTGCTCTAAGGTACGGTTGGCCAGTAGATGGTTTGCCCTCCCAATGCGTGTGTGGCTATTCCTATGATGGCGATCACGCCATGGTTTGCAAGAAGGGGGGCTTCATATGCATGAGGCATGACGAGGTAAGGGATCTCACAGCAAATATGTTGAAGGAAATCTGCCGGGACGTCATGGTAGAACCGACCCTCCTTCCACTGGATGGCGAGATCTTCCAACACAGGACTTCAAACACATCTAACGAAGCCCGTGTGGACGTCAGTGCTCGAGGATTCTGGACGCAGGGACAGCGAGCTTTCTTCGACATCAGGATTTTTGATCCCATGGCCGTTTGTCACCGTAACCTAGCTCTCGATGCTGCGCATAGGAGGAACGAGAACGACAAGAGAAGGGCATATGGGGAGAGAATTCAAAATGTTGATCAAGGCAGCTTCACTCCTCTAGTGTTCACAACCTCTGGTGGGATGGGCCCAAGTGCAAGATGTTTCTACGCCAGACTCGCGGAGCTGATCTCCGAACAGAAGCAGCAGCCCAGAAGTTATGTCACAGCCTGGATGAGATGTCGACTGTCCTTCTCTCTCCTTCGGTCGGCTTTGCTCTGCCTCAGGGGAACGAGAGCTTCTGCCCCTACTCCGACAACTGCTGCAGATATCGACTATGAGGCTACAGTCACCGAATGCCGCATGGATCTGCGGCTCAACTAATTTAACACAGATAGGATAGTTTCTTATGTATTAGGATATTTAATATTAAGGTAAATAAATGGTGGCGAAGGTGTGGCTATTGGGGGAGGCTGGAGGCCACGTTAAAAAGTAGTAGTAGTAGTAGTAGTGCGCTGTGCTCCACGATCTCGAAGTCGGCCGTTTGTCATTACAGGCATGACTTCCCAGTGAGTCAACGCTGTGACCAAGGAAGGTATATGATTGTTGCAAGAATTGTAATTTCCTTAACTTGAACCTGATGTCATCCATCAAAGAAATATTGAGAGGGATTGAAAGAGATCAACAAATAGACATATAGAAAAAGAAGTAGAAAGTGAAACAGAGAGAGAGAGAGAACAGGGGAAATCGGTGAGGCGATAAAAAATCAGATATCTGATCAGATATTCTTCTCAGGCCTTTGACAGACTGCAGTCCCGTGTTTTTAGTTGTAAAAACATAAAAATAATTAAATAAACGCGTCACGTCTATCGAGCAATGGTCCTTCTTGTTGTATGGAAGCAAGACATAAGTCACATAGAACACATCTCAGCCGAGACTCTGATCCATTCTCTGAGTCCACAGGGTCGACAAGAGAATAGATGCTAATATTCTCACGGACACCTGCTGTAAGAGCGTCACTCTGACATTATTCATGACCAAATTCTTGGACTGACCACTTGACCCACATAAACGACAGCAAGCTGCCAAAGCAGCTACTCTACAGCCCTTTTTAAGAATGGTAAACATAGGGTAAATGGATACTGGAAGAAGTAAAATTATTAATTTTATACGAACTTTAAAAACATGCCAAAGTGACACTCGAATAAGGGAGAATATCACTCCAATCATGATGGGTAGAGACTACCGCGCTAGATATAACCCTCCACACACACAACATCTGCGGACGGCACAACCAATCCTGTGTTAGCCTTTCGAGCCACCTTAAAATTCACCAAAGAAGGTGAAACACCATTAATAAATGTCTATAATTTTGTCATCTATGGTTGATCGTCATACTGACTCCGAGTAAAAGCATAAAGAGAGGGGTTAAAGAGAGCTAGACAGAGTAAATGAGAATTTGGGAACAGATTATGAATGAAGATTAGACACACATTTTCTGACCACCTAAAGAAAAGGAAACAATAAGAAATACATTCACTCAGCATCTGTCCTTTGTTTTGGGTCCCCGGCGTAACAAAACTCAGTCACCAATTACTCCAGCTACTCAACTGTTTAGACACAAACACGCAGCTCAACTATATACCCTGTGTAACATTTTTTTTTGGGGA